AAACCGTTTTCTAACAACGACTAAAACTCTATTTTAACATTGCTTTTTTATAATGCAAAAAAGTGACGTCACACCATCTGACCCCCCCATCACACACCGTCACAAAATTACGGACCCCCCCCCCCCTCTCCCACTTCCGAGTGTGACGTCATTTATGGAATTTTATTAATATGTTTTTCTCTTATAAAATAGTATAGTTTTTCATACATTTTAATTACAGACAATTTGTTATAACATCATTTTTAAAAAATTTGATAAGACCAATTAAAATATTGAAAGAAAATAAAACAGATTAAACCATTGAAGAAAAACATTTTTAAAATCACAATTGAACTCTGCCATTTCTTTAGGAGACAAAAGATTTGCGCCACCAGAAGAAGCCCCTGCGTGGACCGGCGTAAAGGACGCTTTAAAATATGGAAGGCGGTGCATGCAAAGAAACGAAACAAAAGACGGCAACGAGTCGGAAGATTGCCTCAGTTTGAACATCTGGTCCCCGGATGTGAGTGGATCATTTCCGGTCATGATTTTCATCCACGGAGGCGGCTTCGACTCTGACTCCGGTTCCGAGTACATGTACGACAGCTCGACTCTTTGCGAACGCGGCGTGGTCGTCGTCACCATTAACTACAGGCTCGGCCTGTTCGGTTTCCTGTCCACGGGCGATGACGTCATGCCCGGCAATTACGGCATGCTGGATCAGGTCCTGGCCATGGAATGGGTCCAGAAGCACATCCGGGTGTTTGGAGGCGATCACAACGAGGTGACGATTTTTGGCGAAAGCGCCGGCGCGGCGAGCGTCTCGCTACACACCATCTCCCCCCTGTCTAAAGATTTGTTCAAGAGAGCGATCATGGAAAGCGGGGCTTCGCTGAGCGCCTGGGCGGTGGAAAGACCGACGACTCTGATTAAAATTTCCAGCTTTGCTAAAATGATCGGTGAGAAGGTGAACTGCACGCAGTCGGATTCCGCGGAGTACTTGACCTGTCTCAGAGGGGTGGACGCCTTCTCGCTTGTCGTGGCCAGCGAGGAGATCACCAAGGAACTCAACGTCAGCATGATCGCCACCCCTCGCGTAGAAACGAAATTCGGTTTCCTTCCCGACTACCCGGAAAATCTTCTAGATAAAGGTCTGTTTAATAAAGTGGACACGCTCAGGGGCTACAACTCTGGAGAATACTCATTCGTCATCGAGGACGATGAAGACAACGGCGTAACCAGAGAAGAATTCATCTACTTCTTTTTGAAAATCACCGAGAAATACGCCTTCGAGAATAGCACCATCGAGGAACTTCAGAACCTGGTAGAGGACCAGTACCTCAAGAACGAGACCAACCCGTTGGCACTGAGAACCCAGCTCATCCGCGGCTTGACCGATTTACTTTTCGCGCTGTCCGAAGCTCTGGAGATCGATAAAATGTCCGCGAACGGTAACCCCAACAGCAAGCACTACCTGTACCAGTTCAACTTCATCGTGGACAACCTGCTGGAGCTGACCAGCTACCTGCCCGACTGGATGGGGGTCCTGCACTCCGCCGAGCTGCCTATGGTCTTCGTCGACGACTCGTCCTTCAACTACGCCGTGTCGACCCACGACCAGCGGGCCGTGGGTGACCTGGTCCAGACGATGTGGACCAACTTCGCCAAGTACGGCAACCCCACGGAGAACGGTACGGCTATACAGTGGGCGCCGTACTCGCCGGCCAACCACGAGATTTTATACATTGACGTCAACTCGACCATGACGTCATTCCCCAGTGCCCACGTGATCCCGATGTTCAACCGAGTTCTAGAAATCATTGACAGCAAACCAACCTCATGAGGTCAGTTGGCGGAAATCTGGACATAAACTTTGGTTTTGAATAAAAATTAAACACCAACAACACTGTGTTTTTTATTTAAGTAAATGAAAATTATGACAAGGGCTCACGACATATTGGCTCACGACAAAATGACTCCCGACATACTGGCTACAGACATTAAAATAGCACGACCACGATTTTCGACATAGACGTGACCATTTTGTCCAACCCACCAAGCACACAGTTTCTACCGCACTACCACTATAACATCTTTTATATGCCTGAATGAAAAACTTTTCATGAACCAACAGAAATTCTTAAATAAATCGAGCTTTTAACAGCGAAGTTCTACCAATTTAAAAACCTTTTTTTTTTAAATTGATAACAGCACACAAATTTAAATGTATGATATACATGCTGTTTACCGGATAAACGACCTGCTTTTTAATAACCTACAAGCATACTGCAGGTAGGAATGTACAAAACACGATTTATCTATCAAATTTTTTCCGTGGGGCGTCAAAGCGGCCAGTGAAAAAAAAAACGGCTTTGACAAAAAGAGCCCCGTCAATTCACGTTAAGAATATTTGAGACAACAAAAATCTCGTGCCACAAAAGTTTGAGGTAACTAATGTTTAGGATCTTGAAAATTTCGGATCTCGAACATTTCGGACCTCGAACATTCCGGATTTCGAAAGTTACGAATATTTCAAGCTACAAAAATTTCGGGCTACAAACTTTTGGGTCCAGGTATCATGTTCTCAAGGGGTCCACAGGAATGATGATAATGATGTATTGTTGAGGATATTCGGCAATTCGCCCTACGTATAAAACGATACGCCATTTTTAGTTTTTCAATTACGAAGATTCTTATTAGGCATGGATAGTACAAAAAAAAAAAAAAAAAAAAAAAAACAAAAACAAACAAACAAACAACCACAACAACAACAAGCAAAATAAGTAGTGGATCAACTTGACATCTGAAGTCAGCATTGAAATCAACAGGTTACTGTGATTGAACAAAGACGTCAGCTGTTGAACAAATCAGTTCACACAAACGGTTGAAATAAATTTACGAGAAGTTAGATCGGCCATAAGCAGTGTAGGCAAGACAGCAAGCACGTGTAGACACCTCACGATCTTCTGTTTTTGATTCGACAGGTTCTAAAACTGGGATGTTTGTTAACAAAGCGGATTTAAAAGAAAAATCTAGTTTTGTTTCTTAAAATATTTCGTAAAACTTTCACCGTCGAATCCATATTTTTATGCTAAAGTTATACTGTGTGTTGATTGGAACCTTCTAGACACTAACAATGGAACAACACCAAGATGGTTTATGACGTTACAAGCTGCGGGCGTTAGCGCGGAGATTTACTAGCTCTCAGATATCGGCGTGACGTGGTCGACTTGGTAAAGCTCATGGTTGCTAACCCGAAAAGTCTCGAGTTCGAACCCTCTTCTAGGAGAGACAACTCCAAAAACAAACAACTGCTGCCTTGTAGTTTGTTCTTGGCTGGGTAATGGCTATGGAAGCAAACCCAAAAAGAAAATCATGCTGAAATCGGAGTCAATGTCCTCAATGGCGCATATGCAGTTGACACGTAACGCTTAATGTTGGAGGGGATCCCTTCCAACACTAAAATAAAGAACGAAGAAGATCTCGGTGTGTTGATGTCTACGCCACGACTTGTATATTATAAACTTCAATCCTACTCGGGTTCATGGCCTCTATTTCTATTTCCTTCATCCTTTGCACTTTGTGAGAAATCGTAGACCTACAACTTGAGACGATTTTCACTTAGGGGTCCATTGGGGGTGTTCTAGCCCTTCTCCTTTTAGAACACCCCTTGCCTACGCCACTGCAAAACTAATTATGTCAAAAAGACAACAGTTCATGGAGAGGGATGTTTCCAAACCACCTAAGAACCCTTGCCTATACTACTGATTGTATAACCCCCTCTTCCTTCACAACCCTTACCTATTATGCCGCTGATTTGATAACATGTGAGATTAGAGCATGTTCAAAGTATAGCCGAGGTTAATCAAGATCCTGTTGATTATTTACCAGTTCATTCACTGCGTTTCTTGCACGGGTTAAAAAAAACTCACCTTCTCAGTCGAATTTGATAGGTTCGTGAAATTTGGCCACGTAAACACGTGACAATGATTTGAAGATTATTTCTTAGATGAACTTCAGCTATATGGCTAATATGTTGGCTGGACTTAAGTCCAGTGATGGCTGGACAAGTTAAATGACTTAATTAACGATTTGACTTAATCCAGATCACATAAATGTTTGCTGGGCTTAATTCAGATGACAGAACTATAGTTTGCGTAAGTCAGATGACAGAACTATAGTTTGCGTAAGTCAGATGACAGAACTATAGTTTGCGTAAGTCAGATGACAGGACTATAGTTTGCGTAAGTCAGATGACAGGACTATAGTTTGCATAAGTCAGATAACTGAAATATTGGCTGGACACACATGCTATTCTTCATGTTAATTTGTTTTTGATGAGCGAATACTATCTCTGTTGATAGTCATACAGGTCGGTAGCGTAGCTAGGATCGTCTCATGGGGGGGGGGGAGGGTTCAAATTTTTTCCAGCAGTATATAACCCGGGGACAAACTTTCAATTAGCACCCCCCCCCCACTCAAACTTTCGATTTGCACCCCCTCAAACTTTTGATTTGCACCCCCCCCCTCAAACTTTCGATTTGCACCCCCCTCAAACTTTCGATTTACACCCCTCAAACTTTATATATATACCGAGGGATCTATGGGGGGGTTATGACCCCCCCTAACCCCCCTGCCTACGCCACTGATACAAGTTTAGAGATGAGTTATCCTCTATAAACTTCATTGGGTCATCCTCTACAACACTGATTGCAAATGTGAAGTTTGCTTCATCGATATCTTTTTGTGTACTTTCTGAAGGGCGTCTCGCAATAAACGACAAACACAGAATAAGAGAAAACTGAAATTGTCATACTCAAATTTATTTGAAAACGTGTTTTTAAACACGACTACAAACATCGTTTAAAACGATTTTTCTGCAATGACGGCCATGTATAACGGTTTGAAATGCTTAATAAATATGCATTCTCCAGAGACTAGAGTTAATGAACTAAATCAGGTTTTATTATTTTCTGCTGATTTTCTCGTCTGAAATGGTCTGTGGTTTACAATATCAGCATCTTCACGGTATCTTCTTGATCTTCACAAATCGAAGACACAAAAGCAAAGCATATAGCCTTTAAAATTAGTCGGTATAGATGTCAATTTTAAACCGCGTGATAGGAAAATTAATGGCTCCTCGCTAATACACTATAGATCCATCTAATTCGTACTTAATTTGTTGTAACAGCTGCATTAAGCAAACCACAGAATAAACGGACAATACAACACGTAAACATATAGGCTATATGGGCAGCATGACAACCGAATTCATCGTGAATTACACTCTCATATAGGCTATGTGGACAGCATCACAACCGAATTCATCGTGAATTACACTCACAAACCAGGCGGTTCATGGGGCAGTCAAAGTAGATTTTACAGGGCATTAGGTTTGGGCGGGGCACTGGGCTGAAACTTTTATATATATATATATATATATATATATATATATATATATATATATATATATATATATATATATATATATATATATATATATATATATATATATATGTATGCCTATACATCTGTAAGATGATAACTAATGTGATGAGTCCTTATGAGAACTTACTAAGCGTAGTTTTTAAAAAAAATTGATGGTATGGGCAGTAGAGGATTAAGGAAGGGGAGGGTGGGGGAGGGGGGGGGGGAGCCAGTGGCCCCCGATTTTTAGGAGTTGACCATTTTTTTTCTTACAAACCATAAGACATTTCACTTTACAACTTAATTTTTGGTTTTTACTTTAAAAACTAATGTTTTAATGGTTGAATCACAAGCTTATTTCAGTTTTCAAAATATTTAACACGTGCACACACTTTAGTATAAATACCAGCTGTCATCACCTCCTACTCAGTCATTGTTTACATTAAGCTGATGCTCCAGAAAATAATATTATATCAGCGTTCGCATTATCATTTTTCTTTTGGGCCCATAGAAAGCAGAGGACTGCACTTACACCTCTCCACCGGACTCGGTTTTGGGCTGCTCCCTTTATCTGTGCCCACTTGAGCCCAGCGGCCTGTCTCTTCCTCTACCGTTCTTTTCCATGATCTCTTTGACCGACCTACTTTCCTTTTTCTTTATTGTTTACAGTCAATAGTTTTTTTTTGCGATATTAACTTCTTCCCTTCTCATGGTATGTCCAATCCATCCCCGTTTACGGGGTTTGATGTCCTTTTCTATTGGATATTGTCTTGTGTATTGCCACAGGTCTTTATTTGATATTTTTTCGGAACATCTTATTTTAATGATCTGTCGTAAACATTTATTTGTGAACGACTGTAGCTCATCTGTATTTGCCTTTGTAACCCTCCGAGTCTCCGAGCCATAGAGCAATACTGCCTTGACATTTGTGTTAAAGATTTTTATCTTGCTCTGGAGTGATAGGGCTGTGCACTTCCATATTGAGCTCAGTGAGTTGAAGGCACATCTAGCCTTGTTGATACTGCATTTCATGTCCTCGTCTGCTCCCCATCCTTATTGATCACGCTTCCCAGATATGTGAATTTTTTTTTCTCGTATATCTTCTCCATTTAGCTGTATGGGCAGGTCCTGATTGTTATTGATTCGGATGAACTCTGTAATTGTGTAGAGCGACATTAATGTCAGACCTAGGTATACACTGGGTAAGATTATTGACCTAAAGTGACCGGGCAGGAGTAATTGAAGTTGAACCCCCCCCCCCCCCGTTCTGACCTGTAGAGTAAATTAGCGAAAATGCATTATGAAACAGAGCCCAGAGACAGAGTCCTTTATTTACTTACTTTAGGCCCAAACTGCTTGGAAGGCCAGAGATAAAAAAAAAGTGTAGGGTAAAATGAGACAAAATAGTTCAGTGATCAGTCAATAATCCCTTAACTCTTGGGATCTTTGGGTCAGGATCCGTCTGTGGATATCTGCATTGAGGGCAGTGGCGGAACTAGAAAAAGAGGGCCACCTCTTAATATCTAGCGGCCTCTCGCGCGATGGACTTTGATTTATTTTCAAAAGAATTTTACCGACAACAGCGTGTGTTTGATTGTAGGAGAAAGGGGACTCGGGATGGTGTATATAGAACAAAGATAATCCAACCGGAGCTACTGTATTATTTTTACAAAACAACCATCAAGTCAAAAATGCTAGAAAATTATTATTTTTTAACTATTAAAAAATTGATTATGGTCAGATGTGGGCCCCTAAACGGCCTGCCCCCCCCCCCCCCACATTGTGGGGTCTGGCGACACTGTAGTTCCGCCCCTGATTGATGGTCTATGCCTTGCATCCATACATGACGCCAAGGGAGATCTTTTTGTTACTCCTAATGATAGGGTATCGCTAAGATTATAAACTTCATTATTGTTCAAGATGATTTGAACAGTTAAAAACTGCATTTATTTACCTTTAATTTGATATCAATTTTAACTATCAAGTTTAATCGGTAGCCCAGAAAATGATTTGTGAAAAAACGCGTTTGTTTTTTAAATGGCTACGATGATATGAATGATTTTCAGTGATACGGTGGGTTAGTTTTTACAAGCTTTTATTTAACTCACTTCCTCGTCAGTCTGTCTGTCTACATCGAAACGCTCGAGCGAAAATTCGAACACTTCTAACTGACAGATACGGTTCGTAATTGGTACGTGGGTCAAGACACGAAGACAATGCAATCTGAAATTAAATTTGACTTAATTGGATGCCTAATTAATTTTTTATGAATTAATTATAATTTTGACCAAATTAGTAGGCATTTCAATCCAACCACATCACATGCGTTATCACATTGAATAGCGAGTCATCACGTTCAATAGGCGCGCAATGGTTTTTAGTCATAAAAATCTATTGTAAATAAAAACATGTTAAAGTACTAACAATTTAAAAAAAAAAAACGTTTTAATAACAAGCTTTTATGTACTAATGCACTAAAAAGTAGAAAAATAAATTATAGACTACTATTTAAATAACTCTAAAAAAAGCGTGGATCTCTTCCTAAACATTAGTAAAGGTATCCAATAGATACTAAAGTGACCCACGCTTTTCTTTATAGTTATTTAAATAGTGGTCTATAATTTATTTTCTACTTTTTTAGTGCTATAGTACCATCATTACCATGGCGACAGTAAAAAGGTAGGTCAAGCGATAGGCTACCTAATGCTCCATTACTCACTGAAGGCTGCGGTTGCTTAGGCAGTTCTTAAAAGTACTTCTTGCTTTGTTCCCTGATCAGATAGGATGGCGCAAAGGTACTTGAAGGAGTTTATTGTCGAGCTATTTAATACAATGTAATCTGTTATATATATATATATATATATATATATATATATATATATATATATATATATATATATATATATATATATATATATATATATATATGATGGAAAAGTTTGATCCCCTTACCCCGCCAAAGAACAAAGAAAAATTCCTGGCTACGCCCCTGGGGACAGCAAAAAATTAATAAATAAATCAGAACTTGCAGTCAATTTAATGGGGTTTTAAGCTAACCAATGAACACTGTACAACGGTACATGTAGTTTATTCTGGCCAATAGAAACACTGCCACGTTTTAACTGGCGTATGGTTCTTAAAGCTGGCCAATGAAAATAATACCTTGTACAAGGGTCTGCCCGGAAGTTTACGTAAAGCATCACAACCATATGACAAGTGACTGTATAAGCATCACAAACATATGACCCGTGTCGAGGCTCGTAGATACAAGGGTAAGATATATGTAATGTTTACACCTGACTTTCAGTGTTTTTTCTCTGTAGGGCATGTCAACGGATGTAAAAAAAAGTAAATGTACAGTAATATGCTATAACTGGGGTCGGCGTAGTCGGACCGATTAAGCTCATGGCTGCTAACCGACAAGTCAAGTGTTCGAACCCCCGGGTATTTGAGAGTAAACTCGAAAATTAAACAAATGCAAGCATGTAGTTTGTTCTTGGATGAAAAAAAGGCAAATCAAGAAAAAAAAAGCTAAAATTGTAGTCAACGTGCAATTTTGAGCATAACATATTGACACCTAATACTTTTTAAAGAAATCGGCGATAACGTAAATTGCCTCTTCCATTCGCCGGAAAGCACTCAAAAGTTGAAAGAAACCAATTAAACAAGATTTTATAGTTATGCATGCAATAACGTCCACCTAACTATAACATCACTAAAGTTATGTGCTTTTGAGATACCGGAAATCGCTCAAAATTTGAAGGAAAACTAAACATTTGATATATTACTTATATGTTTTATATAATACTTATATATGAAATTTCGTATACCTAAGTGAAAATGCACCTAAGTTTACCCTTACCCTCAGCCTTACCATTTCCCTTACCCACACCCTCACCATTATCTTTTCCCTCACCCTCACCATTACCCTCAACATTTCCTTCCATTACCCTAACCGATGGGTAGTTTTCCGGGGATAATGCCCTACAGATGTTGGATGGGTTGTTAGGTTTTGCGAGGTTGGATAATCGACAGGTGTGGTTGATCTGGGAGAAATGACGTTGGAGAAATGAGCGGGAGTAATTGACCGGAGTGAAGTAAATTTCATGGTCCCGTTTATATCAACCCAGAGGCGTTGCGACCCTTCCCGGCGCCCGGGGACAAACTTTTCGATTTGCGCCACCCCCCTCAAGATTTCGATTTGCACCCCCCTCAAACTTTCCATTTGCACCCCCCTCAAACTTTCGATTTGCACCACCACCCCCCCCCCCTCAAACTTTCAATTTGCACCCCCCTCAACCTTTCAATCTATTTTTCCAACCCATTTTGGCGCCCCCTAAGGTAGGTGCCCGGGGACATATGTACCCCCCCCCCACTACGCTACTGTATCAACCCCAATTTAGAACGTTAGGTAACATATCCATAGACCACGACACGTGAATATAATTATTGATGTTGCAACATCCACCAACACACTCTCACAAACCACATCCAAATTAAATACGACAACATAACTATTTTCAAGACGGGGATGGCAATTCGGGGTGTACACATGATACATTTTAAATACTAAAATTAAAATAAACTGGGAGTGATCTCCCCTAAACTTTCTCGAATATTCTTATATAACTCGGAATATAGACATGATTTTTAATTACTTAAACTTTTAAAAATAGAATAAAATCTCGTAGAAAAAAGAATTGCGCACCAAGCGAACGCCAAAACAAAATGTGCATAATAGTGCGGGATATTATTAGTATTTTATAAATTTACATGCGTTTTTTGAGAAATCATAAATTAGTACTTCCGGTCAACGGAAATCACTCAAAATTTGACAGAAGCTAGAGAATTAGATCTTTTACTTACATGTGAATTTTCATTTATCTATCTCAAATAGAACTCAAGTTGAAGGCTTTTGAAAAATTCAAAGTAGAAAAAGTATCACTTCCGGTTATCGGAAATCGCTCAAAAGTTGATACAGATCTACGATTTTGATATAATACTTATATATGAAATTTCATCAACCTAGCTTTCAAAAGCCTATAACTTGAGTACTATTTCAGATAGATAAATGAAATTTCACATGTAAGTAAAATATCTAGTTTTCTGCCATCTATCAAATTTTGAGTAATTTCCGTTGACCGGAAGTAGTAATTTTCACTCTTTCCGATTTCTAAAAAAACGCATGTGAATTTATAAAGTACTAATAATATTCCGCACTATTATACACATCTTTATTCGGCGTTCGCTTGGTGCGCAATTCTTTTTTCTATGAGATTCTATTCTATTTTAAAAAGTTTAAGTATTTAAAATGGATTAAAAATCATAACTAAATCACATGTTCCCATCCCCTGTTGTTTTATATAAGAATATTCGAGAAAGTTTAGGGGAGATCACTCCCGGTTTATTAATATACGACATGCTTTTCAAAATATTCCAGAAAATGCAAATAACGATGAAGTGCACCTTATATTTAGTGCCGCTTATCCTCATGAGTTTAACATGTGAAGCTACAGGGGAAAATGCTTCCATCAGTCTTCCTGAATCACTTCACACTCGCCAGACTTCCGGAAACAAATGGGTAAATTTTATTTTTACTGGGAAAATCAAAGCTTTATCGAATGATTCGGCTAATTTCTAACACAAACAAAAACTAATAAATAATAGACAGTCGCGACCGAAATCGCACACGATAGTTGAGACCCCATAGTGTCCATTATTTAGGTTCTTTTATTTCCAAATTTTTGTATTTACACTTATTATTTAAAGGAATGTTTTAAATCAGATGATTTTATTTTATGTAATATTTTTTAAACAACTTTTTTTTTACATAAAATAACATCGGCCTAAAATTGAAAATCAAACATGATTAACAGCAGCTGTCATCGTTTCATTTTAACAGCGTTTGGTTCAATCGAGGTACTCCGTCCCCACAACAAATGGCGACGTGTTCTGTGTTCATATAATATATAGAAATAATACCACGTGCCGTGCCAAAAATACGACATGTATTGCAGATTTGAATGTTTTACAGAGGCCGATCGCAGGAAAAATGATCTTGAATTGTCCATTTTAATTCGCATAGACAGACGTTTTAACTTAATCAAACACGAAGTGTCTAGCTCTACTTAAGCTTGCAACGAATACTATCATCCACGGGCAGTATCACACCACTCACTATTGACGTATCAATTGCCTATCAACCAATTTTGGAGCGCTCTCTCTCTCTCTCTCTCTCTCTCTCTCTCTCTCTCTCTCTCTATATATATATATATATATATATATATATATATTCATATATATATATATATATAAATAAATAAATAAATAAATAAATAAATAAATATATATATATATATATATATATATATATATATATATATATATATATATATATATATATATATATATATATAATTTCAACCGGGGGCCCCGCTCACGTTTAATCCGCCCCTTGTCTCTGTTATGATATGTTACATAGTTAGATTTTAAGTTTGTTAGAATAAGGTCATACACGTGATACACAATAGCAATTATCAGAAACATGTATTATACAAATTGGAATACGACATAGATATTTTGTTGAATAGTAAATGTATAATGAAACAAGCTAGAAACAACATTTAAGAAGCCTTGGATTTCGCAGATGTGATGTTTGATGCCTTCTCGCACTTAGCCAACAACAAATGCAGATCAAAAGGAACTGGTTGAAAAAATAGTAATAACTGCTGTTTAACTTTTTAAACCAATGTGGCATTCAAAGGCATTGTAAAAAAAAATCAGTGAGGATCTATAGCTAAATGTGAAGTCTCTTTTATTGTATGGCTCTGAGTTCTGTGGTTACATACAGTGGAGAATGAAACAAGAGCATTGAAAAGGTGATGGTTAGGGCACAATATTAGAATGACAGTAAATGACATTACTAAGCAGGTGCTGATGTAAAGCCCACGGGGAAAGAAGAACATCAGGAAACAAAAAAAAAGTCATGAAGGAAATGGTGAGAAATAAGAAGTGTGTTGACCAAGAGTTGTCTACCTTATTCTCGTTAAGAAGCCGAAACGAATAAAAAGAAAAAAAATCAAAAGAGTTTAGGGCAGTGGTTCTTAACCTAGGTTCGAACAAACCTAGAGGTTTGGTGAGTCAGTCTCAGGGCTTTGGCGGTGGTCAACAGACATACACTAGACTCATATGATTCACGATCGGATTTTGTAAGTGTTGACGATAGAACTATTATGAAGGGTTCGGAGAATACGCATATGAAAAGGTTAAAAACCACTGCTTTAGAGTGTAGTTTGTAGAAAATGCAAGATTTTTTGGTCCACTTTTGGTCATGTCTTTAGAACGATTTCGATACTAGTATATCACAGTTGTAACTTATCACTTAGGTTGAACAAAGGAACACAGCAGTAGCAATCCGTGTTGTACCAGTTTACCTATATTACAGTACATTATATTGATTTTCAAGTAAATGGGTTTAATATGTAATTTTAAATAACAGAGAGCTTTATTTTATTTTTCTTAGCTCTTAAAATGTTGGACAAAGATTATCAACCACCCACTCCTTTCTTCTTCTTCTTCTTCGTTCTTAATTTTAAGTGTTGGGAGGGATCGAGCTTTATCTGCCAGGGGGTTTGCACTCGAGACTTTTTTCGAATTTATCAACCACGAGCTTTGCCAACTCGACCATGCTTCCATCACAATTAAGGATTACTTGTCAACTGGTTTTGTGCCATTGAGGCCATTGACTCCGATTTCAGCCTGCTTTTTTGTGGAGTTGTCTCTCCTAGAAGAGTGGCTGTCCCCATCTGCCCGAGGGTTCGAACTCGAGACTTTTCGGTTTAGCAACCATGAGCTTTACCGACTTGACCACGCCGACCCCTACCCACCCACTCCGACCGTATGCTATTTAGAGATCAGCGGATCCAGACAAGATATAATGCAATCAAGTTAACGTAACTTGACTCTCACTTGATGTTAAGAGAATCCTAGGAATCGTACAAAGAACTAATCGCGTCATTTCTTAACAAAACTGGCTAGTGAAATCGTAAATTATGCGTTAATACAATTGGTTTCTATTCTACGTGTTCATCAATTTATCTACTCACCGTTCCGGTATAAATCCTTCCTATATACCTTGGCAAAATAGCAATCTCACCCACCACCTTTTTCTTATTTCATTGTTACAAAAAACGCTTTAATACAATTGGATTCTTTTCCAAGTGTTGAAAGTGTTATGAACTCACCAATCAAGTACACATCTTTGCAATTTTAGTTGGCGAAAAAGCGTGTTTTAACGTCATTAATTTTTTTGGTTGATTTCCTGCTTGAAAGATAAATACGAAAGAGAAGTATATGATATGAATCATTAACCAACGACACCTGTCGGCAAAGATAGTTGGGGGGGGGGGGGGAATGGAAGCTTCCGCATCACAATTTACTTTTTTCGCAAAAAGCTTTTCTTTGAAAACATAAATGTATTTACTTTTATTTATAGTTCAACAATTGCGGATTGATATATTTTTGTTTCAGTTTATAAGCCCTTTCACGTTTGCCGTTAAAATTAATATAACTTCAACTACTGTCTATGAGCTTCGAGGATTCATACCTCCTAATGCACAAAAGTAAGTAAAACTATGAGAAACGCCTAATACTGAAGGTACTACATTGGGCCTGATGTTTGGGGTATAAATGTTTAGAAAGTAGTTGCTAAAGAGGGTCCAGTCAGTGATAGCGAGATACTGACTATGCAGTTTGAATTTGATCGCCATGAAGCAGACATTTTTTATACATGAATGTATTTATAAATGATACATCCATCTATGTACAGAACATCTACCCATCCATCAATGTACTAAATGTTGACCTATACATCAATGTACCAATTTTTTTTTACTTCAATGCAGAGACGTTACAATCTCCCCAAAAGAGCTTATTGTGTAATGACCGGTTGTGACCATATTTTTATGAATAATTTACTCAAAACTCTTAAAAATCAAATATGAAAAACTATATTATTTACAGCCCTACCAAATAAACTTCATGCATCTTTGCATCAAAATCTATGATACGCCGTTCTTCAACCATAAACAAGATGATGATATAAAACCTAATATAGACATCATTTTCAAATAATGGATTACATCAGTTAGTTCGAAGAATGTAAAAAGGCAACAATTTTCCTTGTAAAATGAAGGAGCCAACACTTGTTCTGCCGAATTAGAACCGAAAAACATTAAATCATTATTTTAATGCCGTTCCCAAAGCGTTAATTGATTATACTTTATTCTAGGTGACTTAGTCCCGTGTTTATTATTATAATACTAAAGTCACTGTCCTGAATTCAAAGTTATTTTTCTTTCATTTTTTTTATCAACGGTCAGGTTTACGGTGGAACTGTGTTCTGAAGAGGACTGCTTACCTGACAAAATTCTTCACGTCAGCATTCGGTTTAATCACCAACTTGTGGTCCGAACTCACAGGTATAATGGTAAATGGGGCAAAGAACTGACAAGAGGAGGTATGCCCTTCACAAGAGGAACCAATTTCACCTTCAAGATTCAAAATACTCCGGCAAATATAAAGCTATATGTGAACAGTCTTTATTTCGCCGACTTTAAACATGAAGTTCCGTGGTCTGAGGTTAATTACCTCAAAGCTTATGGTGATGCCCACATATACAGAGCTAGTGTATTTGTAAGTTATCTTGTTTACTGTGAATATACAACATTTTGCTTATATGTAATCTAATACCGATAATCTATAGCCCGTTGAATACATTTTAAAAAATAGAATCTCGTAAAAAAAAGAATTGCACACCAAGTGAACGCCAAATAAAATGTGTTAATAGTGCGGGATATTATTAGTACTTTATAAATTCACATGCGTTTTTTTTAGAAATCGGAAATAGCGTAAATTACTACTTCCGGTCGACGGAAATTACTCAAAATTTTATAGAAGTTAGAGAATTAGATCCCCAACCGCTTAATTAGACAGGTCGGGACCAGAGGCGTAGAGGGGGGGCGGGGGGGGGGGGGGGGCGGGGGGGGGGGGGACATATTTCCCCGGGCGCCGACCTTAGGGGGGCGCCAAATTGAAAGTTTGAGGGGGGAGGGTGCAAATGAAAAGTTCGAGGGGGGTGCAAATCGAAAGTTTGAGAGGGGGGGGGGGTGCAAATGGAAAGTTCGAGGGGGGGGGGTGCAAATCGAAAGTTTGTCCCCGGGCGCCGGGAAAGGTCGCTACGCCTCTGGTCGGGACGCTTTTGACCAGTATCGTTGCCTTTTTTACTTTCTCGTATATACGAAGTATAAAGAAAGTCTTGTAATCGTGCAAAAAAAGAAATCGAGATTTTTGCACGATTACAATACTTTCTCTATACTTCGTATATACGAGAAGGTAAAAATCGAGATTTTTGCAAATCTCGACTTTTTAGGGCTCCCTGAGTCGGAAAAACATAGTTTTGCAATCTTGTTCGTATGTCTGTGTGTATATGTGTCTGTGTGTGTGTGTGTAAACACGATAACTTGAGTACCGTTACAGCAGAGGCGTAGCGACCCTTCACGGCGCCCGGGTACGAACTTTCAATTTGGCGCCCCCCTCTGGAGCAAATTTTCAATGTGCACCCCCCCTCAAACTTTCGATTTGCACCCCCCCTCCCCCTCAAACTGCAAAAATGCAGCTAAAATGACATTTTTATTTTTTTACAACCCATTTTGGCGCCCCCTAAGGTCGGCATCGGAGGACATGTCCCCCCCTGCCCCCCCCGTCCCCATCGCTACGCCTCTGCGTTACAGCTAGGTTGATGAAATTTCATATATATTCCGATAACCGGAAGCTGAACTTTTTCTACTTTGAGTTTTTCAAAAGCCTATAACTTGAGGACTATTTCAGATAGATAAATGAAATTTCACACGTAAGTAAAATATCTAATTCTCTGCCTTGTATCAAATTTTGAGTAATTTTCGTCGACCGAAAGTAGTAATTTACGCTATTTCCGATTTCTCAAAAAACTAATGTAAATTTATATAGTACTAATAACATTGCGCACTATTATGCACATTTTATTTGGCGTTCACTTGGTGTGCAATTCTTTTTCCACGACATTTTATTCTATTTTAAAAAGTTTAAGTATTTAAAATGGATTAAAAATCATGTCTATATCCCGAGTTCCCATATCCTGTTGTTTTATATAAGCATACTAGCCGTCCCGGCCAGGCCCTGCTCTGACCTCTGTGAAAAACCAATCAGTAAAGGACCTTGACATGTGTGTTGTTGTAATCAGCATATACCCGGCATTGCCCAACCTAACCACAACCAACCAAAACCAAAACACACAAAAAAAGAACCGCGAACACAACACAAACTCAACACAACACAAACAAAACACAACACAACTACAACACAAACACAACACAAACAAAACACAACCTAACACAACACCAACACAAACAAAACAACACAAACAAAAACACAACACAACACAAACACAACAGAACACAACACAAACCGGGACGGCTATATTAAAATTGTATATCTTCTTTTAGTGTGGTGCAGGTGTCTATAAAAGAGCTTTCTGAAACCTATCTGTAAAGAAACATGACATGTGTGTTTAATAATCGGGATATACCCGGCATTGCCCACCCTAACCACAACCAACCAAAACCAAAACAAAACTAAAGAAAGGAAACATAACATAAACCAAAACACTAATATAAACGATAACACAAACCCAAACCCAACCTCAAACACAAACGAAAACACAAAACCAACCACAAACACAAAGAATAAACACAAACGAAAACGAAAAAGAAAGAACGAAAACGAACCAAATCAAAACGCAAACCCAACCACTAACGCAAACCCAAATCGTACCATTCTGGGGCGCCGGCGGAATCGCCAGTTTCAGCTTAATAAACGACTATAATATCCCAACTTATTTATAGTTTTTTGCACTCCCTTAAACGAACATAGGCACCAAACCGAACACGGGAATGCCCGGGGCCCCAAATAGCACCCGGTCTGGGCGCCTGAGGACTCCCGGATTCGATTCAGTTAAAGACTATATCAACCTTTCTTATCAATACTCTATCGCACTGTTTAAAGCGAAATTATGCACCATAGCGCTCACAGGATAGCCCAGGGCGCCAAATTGAACCCTGGTGAGGCGCCGGCGGATGCGCCTGTTTCAATTTAAGGAACAATTATAATACTCCAAGCCTCCAAGCGTATCCGTAAATGAAAAGAAATAAACATATAGGACATGTAGGACATGTAGGACCTGGCTTATTAACTGTTATTGATTTAAAAAAAAAAGTAAACAGTAAGTTCAGTGTATTGAATAAATAAAAGGCAGTATTAAAAATACCTACAACATTGCACTTAATCAATCCCAGCTAATTATGTAAATTTTTTTTCCTAACACCAAAACAAAGTAATAAAAAGTAAATTCTTCCTCCCCCGGCCGATTTAATGGTTTTTTAAAGGGAAGTAACTGTGTTTTCCAAATCAAGGGACGTTATGAGAACTAAATGCAAATACATTTCAGACACAATTTTAGAAATTTTATAAACGTTGATACACTTTTTTTTAAATTTTATGTAATGTTCATAATTGAAAATTATTATTCTAAGTATATAAAATGAAAATTGTTTTTAAAGACTTTCAATAGTAATTTTTTAACTCATAAATTTAGACCATGAGTACTTTAATAATCTAACACTAGACTCCGTGGAAGTATCAAATTTTTTCGTTTTTTGTTATATTCCTTTGTTACAAACAAACATTTTACAAACAAACATACATAATTGAACTTTATATATTAGATTCGAGAAAGTTTAGGGGAGATCACTCCCGGTTTATTCAAAAATTAATAAGTTAAATGAAAACATTTTGTTTTTTAATTACTATTTAAAAGTGCGTCTTACAAAATAACATACGTTTTTAAATGTATTAATCTATTATAAATAAATTAAGTTACAAAAAAACTTGAGAGACGAAACTGAATAAAGGTTTCTCCATAAATGACGCCACACTCGTCGCGGGGAGGGGGGGAGGGTCCGTAATTTTGTGATGGTGTGTGATGAGGGATAGGGGGGGGATGGGTTCAGACGGCACACTTTAACATTATAAAAACGCGATTTTAGAAAACGAGTTTTAGCCGTTATTTCGCTTTTAAGAAAACTGTTTTAATAAATTGTAATAGGAATCTATATATATAATTCTCTTCTGGGAGACGCTAAAAAAACAAGTTGTAAACGCGCTCCCTACCAGCCCCACCCCTACATGGTCTGGTGAGCTGTGGTTCACTCTAAATGTTTACAAACAGCCGGGTTTAGTGACGACTATTAGGGGCAGATAATTTATTTTGAAACTATTTTAAGAGTAGGGGGGGGGGGGTATAACTAAGTGGAGTTTACTTTAACGGAGGGGGGGGGGGAGGAGGTGGGGGGTTATCGTCCTTAACGAGCTACTAATAGTGTTTTAAAGAAATATTTTCAGTAGCAGCGTTGGTAGTGTCGAATTCACAAATTATGAATAACTGAAAAGTAGAAAAAACAACTACTAAATAGCGGCGTATGATATGCCGCGGGTCGGCTCGTTGATTAAAATACTCTATGTTGACAAAATTCAGACAAGATTGTGGAAAAAAAGACCGTATTTAAAGAAAAATCCAACTGCAATTTTGATTGGGGTTGTAGCTGAGGTGGGACGTCATTTTTTGGGGGGGGGGGTGTCTGCTTTTTTTGTGACAATATGTGACGGAAAGAAGGGCGGGGAAGTAAAAATCGCAAAAAAAAAAGCATGGCGTCATTTATGGAAGACCCCTAATGGAAACCATAAGCAATAAAAGGCCAGCTACAGATAAATAGAACTGATAGGCTTGCCACATTGACGCATTTCGACCCAATTCGACAGCTTAACATTTTAAAACACATTATTCACGTCTTTAATCAGTTTGATCATTATATATTGCATATTTTGTAATGGAATCTGTTAAATTATAATAATTTGATTACAAATTTAGTCTACCCATTGGAGGTAAATAGCTACTAGCGGATTCAAAAGGTTTAAAAATATATTTGGTCGCTATGTTACTCGTTTTCCTACAAATATAAATAAACCGGTAGTGATCTCCCCTAAACTTTCTCGAATATTCTTATATAAAACAACAGGGGATGGTAACTGGGGATATAGTTATGATCTTTAATCCATTTTAAATACTGAAACTTTTAAAAATAGAATAGAATCTCAGTAAAAAACAATTGCGCACCAAGCGAACGCCTAATAAAGGTGTGTATAATAGTGCGCAATAGTATTAGTACTTTATAAATTTACATTAGTTTTTTGAGAAATCGGAAGTAGCATAAAGTACTACTTCCGGTCAACGGAAATTACTCAAAATTTAACAGAAGGTAGAGAATTAGATCTTTTACTTACATGTGAAATTTCATTTATCTATCTGAAATAGTACTCAAGTTATAGGCTTTTGAAAAATTCAAAGTAGAAAAAGTACCACTTCCGGTTATCCGAAATCGCTCAAAAGTTGAAACGGATCTACGATTTTGATATAATACTTGTAACTGAAATTTCATCAACCTAGCTGTAACGGTACTCAAGTTATCGTGTTTACACACGGACACACACACACACACACACACACACACGGACACACAGACATACGGACAAGATTGCAAAATTATGTTTTTCCGTATCAGTGAGATGTAAAACGTCGAGATTTGCAAAAATCTCGATTTTTTTTTTGCACGATTACAAGACTTTCTCTATACTTCGTATATACGAGAAAGTAAAAAAAGAGAACGAAGTTCAGTCCAAAATACGCAATTTAAAAATAAAATACATCCAGAAAAAAAAAGTTATTTAAATACATATAGCCTACACATGCGTATATATACTTACACAATGTATGTAGGATATATATATATATCTATATATATATATATATATATATATATATATATATATATATATATATATATATGCCTATATATATATGCCTATATATAGATTTTTCGCGGAGGGGGGGGGGGGGGGGGGTGATAACATTAAGTGCATCACCGGGTGACACCCGACCTAGCGACACCACTCCGTAAAATTGATAGTTCGCCCTGGGCGACTAAATATATCGCAACTTCTGTGTTTATTACGTTGTCGCATAGGACGCCAAATCGCCCCATACCGGGACGCCGGCGGACGCGCCTGATTCAATTTAGTGAACGACTATAATACCACATTATATTATTTATATAGGCCTGCATAGTCTGTTATACTCTTTAAACGATCATTTGCTCTATAGCGCTCACGGGACGGCCCGGGGTGATAAATTTCCTCATGCCGGGGCGCCAGAGGACGCGCCTGATTCGATAAAGTACACGATTATTGTTGCCCATTGTGTCTTAAGTATATAGATTTTTTAAAAACAAACGTAGGCGCCATAGTACTCACAGGGGAGCCCAGGGCGCTTCGGGACACGCAATGACCGGGGTGCCGGCGGCTGTGTCTGTTTCAGTTTTACCGCTGAATATAGTAGTACCTCTTTCCTGCTATGCGGGTCGCTCGATTAACAGATACCAAGTGCTAGTATAGCCGCTCTGGAACCCTGGACGCAAGACTGTGACAAAAAATCGCACCATCTCGGGCGCCGTTATTAAGAATATTTTTTTCGCATAAACCTTCTCGGGTGTATACTCTTCAAATGTTCCAAGTTTCATGGCACTCGGATAAACGTTCCATCTTTTTTAAATTTACCGTATATAGTAAAAAATCGCCCCCTTCCGAAATTAAAGAAAAAAAATATTTTTTTTTGCAGAAACCTCTCTTGCGTACTGTCAAACAACTTCACAAAGTTGCATGGCGATCGGATAAAAGTTTAAGTAATGCATGAAAGACAGACAAACATATATATATATATATATATATATATATATATATATATATATATATATATATATATATATATATATATATATATATATATATATATAATCAGTTATTAATTAATAGGTAGTTTTTATTAATGGCAATTACACATTTATGCGCCCTTTTAAGATTAGCGCCCTAGGCGACCGCCTGGTTTGCCTTATAGATAGCGCCGGCTCTGACGACACTACACTACAATACACTACAACCTCTACACTACGCTTCGCTCTGTGTTAAAGTAGACAACACTACACTACACATTCAATACAAAACAAACACGCCCTGATTTCTCACGCAGAGTGGCAGACTGCAAACAGTCTTTCGTCATCCTCTTGGGGCTGGTGACTGGATTCTATACAGATCAACTCAGCCAGCACAATTTGAAAGGTAAGTATTTCTTGGTTTAATTTGAATTCAGTTATAGGCTGCAGTGTATTAGGGGGGCGGGCTGAGGGGACTCAAGCCGGGGCCCCCCGATTTTTCGGGGCCCCCAAATTCT